CTCCCTAATTTCGGGGGTTTCGGGGTTTGGGAGTCGACTCTCCAATTTTGGGGAGTCGATTAACCAACCCCCTTAAAAAATTGCCATTGAAATTAGGACAACAACTCCCCTTTTTTTGGGGGGAATTGGAAGAACTATAAGGAAATGGAAAAATACTATGAGTTCCGCGACTGGTTTTATTCGAGTGCAAAAGAAAGATGTTATTGCATGATTACAAACCTATAAGGAAATGGAAAAATACTATGAGTTCCGCGACTGGTTTTATTCGAGTGCAAAAGAAAGATGAGGAAACTCGAATAGCCAGCCGCGGTTAAAACTTATAAATGTTTTGATTATGTAACATGCATGTTTGAAAAGTATGTAAATATGAAATGAAAAATATGTAAATATGAAATGAGAAATAGACAAAAGTCAGAAAAGGATAAATTTGATGAGAAAGGAAAAAACCAAAATAGTTTGTCATGTTGACGTCTCATAACCTTACAAGAACGACTCCCGTTCGACGACCTCCCGACCAAAACAGGAGTCGTCGACTAATTTTTAGGAGTCGTTTTTCCAAGCCCCTAAACAAATTAGCTCACTGTTTACTCACCTAAATTATCTCAGCCCCTTTGAGAGTAGAAGACAAAAAAGAGCATACTCACATTTTTTACAATGAACAGTTGGAGGTGTGATGGTGGTGAGAGTTTGGGGTGTGATGGGTGTGGGGGAGGAGGTGTGATGGTTCAGTGAAGTGTGAGTGATGGTTGTGTGGGGTGCAGGATGAGCTGTGATGGTTGTGAGAGGTTGTGAATCTGAAGCAGAGTTGGGGGGGGGGTAGCTGGTGGAGGCTGGTGATGGGATTGTTGTGATAGGTTGTGAATCTGAAGCAAAGTGGGTGGGTGGGGGGAGCTGGTGGAGGCTGGTGATGCAGTAACCAGAGTGATTCTTGCAGCAGAGAGAGGGAGAGAGATCTGATAGGGGAAAAGATGAAGGATGATTTTTATGATGTATGACATATGTATTAGAGGTGGGGAAGTTGAGTTACCTTAGTACTGATGATAGATAGGGTGATTGAGTAGAGTAGGAAGAGGTGATGGAGTAGGATGGTGGTGG